AGAGTTATAACTCATGAATATGAGAGTATATATATATCCAAATAAATTTTAATATGTGAGATTTTAATTATAGCGTATTCTTTATTCATATATACATCTTCTCCTTAGTTAAACCAGCAACTCTTATTGATAAGGGGATTCATCACCCAAGTGAACTTAACGCCTAGTCATATCAAATAACACTTTTGTATCTTTTCATTTACTTGATTATAGATTGAATATTTTATGTTGTAATTATTTTTTGATTTGATTAATTTTAAGATATTAATTATTCCTAATTTAAATATTTTAAAGAGAAGTTTTTAAAATTTTTGATATAAAAAATTATCCATATATTATTACTAACATTTTTGTATTATGACTATCCTCTACAATGTATTTATATCATACGTATAAAATTTCTTCAAAATTTAATATTTTAAAGAGTTGTAAAGTATTTTTAAATAAATTCTTAGAATATTTTCAATAGATTCTTAAATTTAAATAATTTTTTCAAAAATCATGTATCAATTATTTTTTGATAAACAGATAAATCCTTACTTGATGATATGACAAACATCATCAGAATACAAGCATCACTGCCATAGAAATCCATATAAAACAAGAAATTTGTAAGACTTTAGAAATTCTACTAGAAGAGCTTAAGATATTATATCTATTATAAATTTTATATTACTTTCATTAAAAAATATTCTTACATCAAATATGTATGACACATGTAATCTTATCACGTCTGAGGTATTTATTACTATGAACATGAACAGCTTTGATGAAATCACTTAGTTAGCTCCAGAAACATTGATTGTATGATAAAACTTTTGATGGCGAGACGGAAAACATTGTCATTTCTTAATAACTAATAACTATTTGATGAAATTTTTTTTCCAGATTGCTGAATTACGATTCAGCTAATTTTTTTCTTCCACTTTGACCACATATTGGACTAAAGGATTATCTTCTAGGTTATGGACAGATAGTTTCATATCTTTAAATCTCTTTGAGTGTATCCGATGAATTTGTATCATATAGGAATTTGTCTATGCTTTTGCCGATGCACACACTTATGCTCATTGATATTGGTTAGGCCATGCGGGAATAGGTGTTCGCTCACATTATTTTTTTGAAATACGGGCTAAAGCCCCATGCCGGAAAGGAAATCAGAAAAGTTATATCTAGAACCGGACCTAGTGTTTTGTGGGTGGGTTGTTCCTTTTTAGTGTTCTCTTGACATCAAATAGAATATTACATATGGTTTGATCTAGACAATTTCATGATTCACACATGCTAGTAATTTTTATGTGGCGATGATTGGTGTGAATTTTTGTATTTGTAAGGATCATATCATACTAATCTATGATTTCATTTGACACAAGAATATGAATGATGCATATAAAGAATTATTAGTATGTCTTACAACGAATTTCAATAAAAACAAACATATGATTGGTTTAAGTTTTGTTGTGATAGTTAGTATTACATGTCTTGCACTTGATATTGTTTTGAAACAATATATGATTAAGATACTATGGACCACAACAACCATTATATCCCTGCATTCTCCATAAGATTGAAACAAAGTCGTTAGGTTGAACTGAACAAGTTCTGATGTAGGATCCTTCCTTTGTAAAGTATGAGAATTTGTTCCAATCATCCTATAGTAGACCTGGATTTTTTTTATAATTGCGTGAGAAAGTCGTATGAATAGTTTCAGAAGGATAATAAAAGTGCGAAAGAGGTAACGTCGTGGAAATTTGTGGCCAGCAGAGACTTCTTTATTTTTCCTCTTTGTTCTCACGTGTCGAGAATGATAGATCGTAATACGCCTTATCCTCTATTGTCAAAAACGAATGCTGTCAGTATCACTGCGGTGTAAAGTCCATCGTATAATATATAATATATGGAGTCACTAACTTCTTTGTAGTATACACTACATTAGAAATTTTGGACTGCTTTCTAATGTGGTGTGTTTGGCCTACGCATCGATGTACATGGTCATCACCTTTGTTTAATCTTCCGAAATCAGTCGTCAGGGAGTATCTTCGGATATAAGCAGCTTGCTTTTCTAACATCAGTTGACGAACAAACTTCCCATTCGAAGTTTCAACTTTATTTGCGTTACTTTTGGGAATTAAGCCGGAATTAAGCTCTACGTTGACTCATGTCAATGAATTCCTGCGTTTTGAACCCTAATTATGGTTTAGGATATGAATCAATTGCACTTGAGCACGTCATACCGACAATCGTTTGTTCGTGGAGCGAACACATGAATCCAAACCTCGCTTGAATCAGTAAAAAATTCACAAAAACTTCAGTTTCGGGTTTGGGCCTCGAGTTTTATATCTATATATATATATATATATATATATATATAGCTGAGTTGCTCAAGAAAAAATAAAACTCAATGCAGCATAAAATTCAAGAACGAAAGAAAATATGCTTGCACGATCACCGTCATATCATCGAAGAAATATATGTCAAAATTTGAAAACTGATCCACTTACAACTTCCGCTACGCAATCGTATTTAAAAATTCAGCAAGAGGCATGTTAGCATGAATTATCTCCAATTTAATCATAGTTCTCGTCCGTGTACTTTGATTGACGCTTTTTTCTTTATTTTTGGCCCTACATCACCTCATATGAACTATTTTGGATCGCAAATTTCAGAGCTCCACAGTGACATTGCTAGCTGAGTAGTTTGTTACTTTTGAAATTTCAATATATGCTATTGAAATTTCAGGCAGTCATGAATTCATCTACCACTTATTGGGACAGTGTGATCGATACGTTCTAAGATGTGAGGCTGGTGGGGCGGTGATGCAGATTAACAGCTGAAGGGTCACGTCGTATGAAGAAGTATGAGGTTCTAAGGCTACTTTAAGTATTTCTTATGAAGATACGAAAGGGGAAGATGTCTTTAACGAGTGGTTAGGTTGTGGCCAAGACTTTTGTGTGCTTGTGTTGTGAAAGAATTTTGAAAAGAAGGATTGTTACATTTAGTATCTTTGTAAGATTGGAGAACTCAAGGGGTGCGTTATTGGCCAATATGATCTTTGGGTTGTCCGATGGCTACCATACGAGACTCGGTGAAGCACAAAGCCTCCCATGAGTTGGTTGAGGGTCGCTCAGCTGGAGAGCTGAGCTACCCTCAACCAACAACTTACAGCAAGATCATGCTAGAGAAGGTGGGAGCGATTGCAATATATAAAAGATATTCCACAGATTTGATTGGGCTTAAAGGGAAGTCAGTAGGTGCTCACTCAACAATCTTGTCACCGAATTGCCTACGGCTTTTGAGTCGCGTATGAACAATAAGGACAAGGTTTACTTAGCAGGAAGCGGTATGAATGTGCATGGTCATTCAAACTATGTGCAGCTTAACTACGGTTGGGGCCAATACTAGATTGGAGATTGTTTTACGAACGGTGTAAGCAAAATTAAATAATATTAAGTAATGATTGACAGATTAAGTTTTGCAGAAGATATGCAAGTTAGTAATTACTTCTGCAAATTCTGACGCCTCTTGATGGAAGATGGAGAACTTGAACCTAGAGTATAGTGATTTTATTAGACGGAAGTTCTTTCATTATGTTTGCGAATGGGAAATAGAAAACTACATAATTAGGATGATTTGGACTATACGCATATCTTTGAGGGATCTGAGAGCCCACAAGCCCACAAGCCCACAGGAGTCTATGATGAGCACAAAGGTTACCATCGAGGAACATCGGACATGAGATTCTATATACAACCGGAGAAAACAGTGGAGGAGCAAACGGTTTGTCGACGTCTTAACCCAATTTGGAGTACAAGAGCTATTTGAGCTACTGCTCAGCAGATTAGAGTCTAAGGAGTTGTCGGTAACCCAAACCCTCCTTTGCTCTAATCTTCTGCGGGCTTGAAGGTGACGCACCGCACATTAAGAGCCGGCTTCTGCTTAAGCTGACCTCAAATTTCAAGTAAGTCACACAACCAACTGAGTTTCTTCTCAAAGGCTTTATTCAAACAAAGAGAATATGACATAGCTGTTGTCCTGCACAGATAACGGGTGTTCAGGAACTCAGTATCACGACTTTTGAAGGACTTTTTACAAACATTTGGAAATTTTGCTGCTAAAGACCTTCGTTTAAGATGAACCGACTCGTTGGCGTATTCCCTTCTCGATACCTCTCTTTCATAGAAAGAAGAAATTTAAAGCTGCAACTTCTTTTTTTTCGACAAACATAAGCCGAACAGAGAATTCCTTCCCCTCGGAGTAATCTTGTATAGAACCCCTGGAGACTAGAGGGCTTGAGGTTGCACTGATGGTCGTAATATTGAGAGAGAGAGAGAGAGAGAGAGAGAGAGAGAGAGATTGATTGATTGATTGATTGTGGAAGGCAAACTTGGACTTACAAACGGAAGCTGTGATATAGGTCTGGTAATTAATTAGGGTGATCGGTGTGAGGTTGGTGGTGCAGTGTTGAGGACCGACGAGAAAGGATTCCTATGGCAAGTGGAAGGTGTTATAATCCCAACTTTTAAGCCTATTGAGTTGTCATGAGCAAGTGCTTTGCTCGTGGGCAAGACACAATCAAACTACATATTTTTCTAGAGGAGGGTCATTATAGAGGGCAGACTAATATGAACTGATTGGGCCAGGATAGCATTCCATTCCAAATGGTCAATGTAGTCAACTCGTAAAGTTTGAAACCACAAGCGCCATCTGGAACGAGTTAAACAGCTACATGTCAAAGAAGGAGATCGAATTGAGAATGCACACGTCCAGAAGGTGAAGAGATTGTGGCAGCTGCAGCGATCCGTTGTCGACTGAAGAGAAGCACATGACGAAACGTAAACGAGAGTCTTATGGGAGCTTGAGGGCATGTGATGAAATATACTGTGGTAACTTCCAGCGACTGTAGGATGAGATTCATCCTACAGGGAATGACTAGCTGGAAAATTACGTCAGTCGGATCTGATTTGACGAAAGTCCTTGAGCCGGGGGACGACTTCTTGACAGCTATATATACATCTCTCTCTATATTCGGTAGCAAGTACGGATACACCAGTCACAGAGTCGACAGCCGCAACTACTACCCATCATCTCCTTCTCAGGTCTCGATCCAGAGCCGAAGGCCGAAGCTGCCCGCGCGAGAACCGCACCGAATCTGTGTTCGTATTTCGAGAAATACGTTCCCAGGCGTCGGATCCACCACTGGCACTACGGCTCGTGGCCACTACAATCGGGATTTGACACGAGCAGTCGATAAGTCAACATGTTTGCTCCTCGGTAAGATAGATCGATACGCGGAAAACCAATCGTAGCATGTAGAGAGCAGAGTGATGTTTATGGAGATTGTCTGAATGAACGAACATGTCGAGGACCGCAATTGATGCTCATTATGTCCAAGAAATCAAGAGTTAGATCATTCGTTTGGCCGAGCTCGAGAGGTGAATGTGCTTGCGAGGTGGTCCTTACATGAGCTGCAGCAATGACGATTAATTGGTAAGAAGGCTCACCTCATAAGCTAGATTGCAGGTACTTGAAATTGAAAGTGTTTCTTGTTCATCGTTTTATCAATAGCAGCAATTTACGAGTTTGCAGAATAGAGTGCAGATGTGAGAGTAGTCCACAGTTTAGATTTTCCAAACGCTTTTTTTTTCGATGGTTTCGATGGTTGCGGATAGTGAAGGAGGATTCATTTGACAGGTTGGAGAGGAGGTACGTGCTCTGATACGAACAGCATTCTGAGCTTGGCCAGACCTTACTAACATTCAACTAGAGCTTCAAATTTGTATCACAATGTTGAACGATAAAATTGAACTGAAGCTAAGTCGATTTCCTCTAATAGCGTGTCTTTCTGCAGAGCGAATTTGCACCTATTTTTTCTCCTTTGTAGAAACTGAATAGCTGAGCTCAGCCATTCAAGAATCCTGAACTTATAAAACTTGTGGGACCTTGTGAATTCAGTTCTTGGATGTTTGCAATCGGTTCTCATCCCTCCCTCCCTCCCTCTCTATAGCTCTTTCTCTCTCACGGTCTTGCTCGTCTTGAAATTGGTCTCTATGGCCGCGAAGACTAAAATTCAATTCGTTCGAAAAACTGGTGGAATCTGTTTACGTGCCGATGCTCGGTGGGCAGGTATTCTGCGATATTTTGGTATTAGTTCCGGCCTGTAGCTCACCTCCACAGTAGCATCTGTTGATGATCGTCACAAGCACAGTGGCTAAAGCACTTTGGGATTCCACATCAGATTTTGCGTGGGGTCAAGAGCCTTTGTATAAATTAAGTAATCTTTTCGTGGTTGCGCTGACAGGAAGAATGTCCAGAGGCTATCCTCTGATGTTTTGCGGAGACGTGTCGGTCATGCTGCCCGGCAATGCACTCGGAGCTTTTCTTCTGCACCAGGTATCGAACAAAGGTCAGTCTCATCATTCCCTCACTCCCACATAAACGCAGTCCCCAGCAGTCCATAGAACTCCGGGGAATCCAGCCCCACGACCAAACTCGGTCCTGCCATCTTCAAGCTAGTCAGAGTTTGTTCGCAGATTTCGGAAGCTGACCAGCAGCTCCGAACCGAAGAGCCGGCAATGTATCGCTCCGACATGGAATCACAGTCGGTTGGGCAGCTGATCCGGGGCTTCAGCTCTGCTGCCGGTAGTTGCGCCAAAGTCAGCAGGCTGCTCCCAATCCTCTATCCGCATCCTTCTTCTTCTTCGCTCGAACCACCTGTCGTACGGGAGGTTAGAGCAGACGAGGCTCAAGACTCGTCTGCTCAGGAATTGCACCCACTTGTTCGTCTCCTGGTTTACTCAGTGTACCATAAAATCCAATCTCTCGACTTCTCGAATCATGATGATATTGTCAGAGGCTGTCAGAAGGCCAAATTCCAGCCCTCCTGCCGCTCACTCAAGCGGAACGCGAACATTGTCGAAACAGATTGGTCGGCCAGGTAGCCGTCATAACCGGGGGCGCGAGCGGGATCGGAGCGGCGACGGCGCGAATGTTCACTCGCCACGGCGCACGAGTGGTCATCGCCGACATTCAGCCTTCGCTCGGGGAGAAGCTGCTGAAGGAGCTGGGGCCGCAGGCAGAGTACGTGGAATGCGACGTGCGCAAGGAGGAGGACATCGAGAAGGCCATAAGCAAGGCGTACGAGCTGGAGAATCGGCTCGACGTGGTTCACAGCAACGCGGGCATAATCGGATGCGTCGGCCCCATCGACGAGGTTCGCATCGACGAGTACGACGCGACCATCGCCGTCGACCTGCGCGCCGCAGTCATCGCAGTGAAGCACGCGGTCCGCTTCATGAAGCCCCAGAAGCGCGGCAGCATCGTCATCACCGGCAGCGTGGCCTCCGTGCGAGGAGGCATGGGCCCCCACGGCTACACCGTCGCGAAGGCCGGGCTGCTGGGATTGGTGAACTCCTGCGCCGCCGAGCTCGGCCAACACAACATCCGCATCAACATGATCTCGCCCGAGCTCGTGTCCACGCCGCTGGCAGCTTTCGCTCTCGCGGCTCTGGCAGAAGGCGGCAGCCAGTCCGTCACCGTCGACGACATCGACCGCATCGTGAAGCAGAACTCCATGCTCCCCGACAGGCTTCTCACCCACCTCGACATCGCCAACGCTGCTCTCTTCCTGGCTTCTGACATGGGAGGCTACATCAGCGGGCACAACCTCGTCGTCGACGGGGGAAAGACCGCAGCCCACGTCCTGCAGGCCGGCGGAAACCATTGGTCCACCAAGTACGCTTCTACCATTTCTCCTTGTCATTTGAAGGCGAACTGGAAGACTCCAATGCTTTGATTCTCTTCAATACCCTTGATATTGAGTATGTTATCACCTCGCGGTAACATCGTTTCCTTGCAGATACATGCCCATGGTTGCCGAGAATGGTAAGAGGGGATTATAGCGTAGTCTTCAAACATCATGATTTTGCAAGTAAGTACCGGTTGTCAACATGGATTATTTTGTTTTCATGCACATGTTTTTCGTATTTTAATGATCGATCGTTATGATGTAATTGCCATATTTTGTAGCTCATGATAGTCTATGTCTTTGGGACTTTTGCAGACTTTGTCAACGGAAGGGATGTAGAAGGCCTTCATGATACCCCGTAATAGAACTGTGTCGATATGAAAAATCATATCATACAGTCATCATTGACTAGGGGAGTTGGTTCATGAAAGGGGTTTCAAACTCCTGTGTGGCTAAATTTTATCATCCCTTTAGATCTTCTTTCACATAAGATTCTATTTCAATCTCATGTGGATGTACAAGTAGGATTGGGTCAGATCAAATTTTCCTATGATGTAGATTAAGATCTATTTGTGAACTAGGTTCATGTTTTGTATGTAAATTGGTGGAATAATTTACTTTATGGAATAAAAGTGGAACATGTATAGCAATCTGTGACTTGATATTTCGTTCTCCTTTTACACATTTACTTGTCCACTGAGCTGTTTTCATCTTTGTAGAGGAGCATATTTGACTTGATATGATTACGAGAAGTGTAAGTATGTATCGATCTACAAGCCTGAAGGAATGTAAATTAATTTGAATATAGAACATAGTAAAATAAAATTTTCTCTTGTTAGAATACGTTTTCTTTGTAAAAGCTATGAGAATTGTATCCATATCAGAAGTTTTCATTTATTTGAAATTTCTTACATGATTCAAGTAGTTCTCTGATATCATCAGCGCCGATACAATACAAATTAGTTCTTGATTATCAGTATGTAAATTTTCAAGTAGACTTTTGCTCTTGCAAGACATCTACTCATGCTCGTCGATGTGGGATGTTCTCGAACCATATATTGAATTGAATATGTGATAATCAAATGTTGGAGTTTTTTCATGTGCACTGTAATAAAAGCTGACATTTTTTCACTTGTAATAGTACATAGTAAGGGTGATAAACCTCTTTAATCAACGAGTTTGATATCTAAAATATATTTTAAGTATTAAGGACTATGAGGTACAGGGTATCTTCAATTTCACAGCCTTTTTATATGTCCTCTTTCTACTGGAACAAAAACAAAACCGTTTGAATGCCTTAACATTTTTAATTTCTTTTCTTCTAGTTGCAATTATCTCGTCAACATGCTTGCTATTCGGAACATAGCCCCGTCTTACTCTTTTGGTTTCATCCATGTAGGTCGTCCATGCTTTCAAAAGTGTGCTATCAAGACAGTAACTGATACAGTCCTCGAGTCCTTTCAAAACGTGAAAGTTCCACTCGAACACGACGTATAAAACAAAGAAAGAAATATTGGGTTCAATACATCCATTCCGTTTCTCATAAGTGCTGCATCCAACCAGTATCGGTTATTTAAAGCGTGAAAAAGAAACTTGCCGCTTAAGTGCCATTTACACTGACCTTTTCGTCGCTCAACATAATCTCTTCTTTGTAAAATACGATTGGATGCTCGCATCCCCGAGTCCCATTGTTCTGGCGGCGTCTGATAGTCAGAGCGATCTTATTTTCTCAATGTGAGATAATTATTATGACACTCCGATCAGCTGTTTCGAAGATTTTCCAAGTGGTGAACGGTACACTTGATAACATACGTGATATATTTCTCAGAGCTTCATCCGAATACCATAAAACGAAAGCAGTTTGGCATCGCTCCTGGAGGACAAACGGGAACAAGGCTGTCACCAGTTTGCACTTCTAGACTCTGATTTTCCTGCGTCACGACTGTTCACTTCATGTTTCAGCAGTGTGCACTTATATTCTCTCTTCAGTTATGGTTGTACACGTCATCAGAAGTGCAGATGCATGCAGACCCCAAATCCCGCTGGTATGAAACACCAAAATCATGTTCTGGCACACTTCCGTGAGAAGATCTCGTTCGACGTAATCTCCGGGAGTGGCTTGGCTGAATCTTCCCTCACCTTGCCAACTCTTTGTGAGAGGCAGCTGCAATTCCATTGACCAGAAAGTCAAACCTTTCTGGGACGAACTCCCACAACGTGACTGTGTCTCCTAAATTTACTCGACCGTCACATGCAGCCCGTCCTCCTCTCAAGGCACAGTCGGCACTATCAGTGCAGACCTCGATTCTCTCCAAACACTGGAGACCAGTGCTTGCACAGATTTATTGGAAGTGGGTTCTGCTTAAGTTTCAACCACATCTCAGGGTGAGGGTAGAGATAAGAGGAGCCAAGTGGTACGGGTTGCATTCAGAAATTGCTCTTATTCCCAAAACTGACCTTAATGCCAGTAATATTACAAGCACACAAAGTGCGTAACAAAATCTCCACGTAGTTACACCACACCGGATTGACATCTTGGTTGGGTCTACTTACAGTCAGAGGCTGGAACTAGCTCACGTAAAAATGCTTGTTCCTAGTTTACAATCAAATCTGGGCTGAAGAGCTGAAGTGAATCTACTGCCAGCCAAGAAAATTGTCAAGTATGGCAACAAGAGTTATACACAATGGATACACAGCAAGAACTGGGACCGATAGCCACAATGGGAAAGTTGTCCTCGATCCACCTATGGCTCCTACGGTCAATACTGATAACAGGATGACTGTAACCTGTGCAATACAAGCCAACGAGTCAGAAATCGATGCATTTGTTGCCTACAGTTCATACAGACCCTCACAAAGAAATGAAAAACTGCTCCTCTTCATAAGAAGATTAAACGGATGAACAACACAAAAACTTGTGAAGCATAACGAAAGGGTGCAGAAAAAACTCTGGTCCTTTGCGAAAGACCAATCTGACCTCGCTAGAGAAGTCCCAGTTGAGTCCTCTTAAGTAAATCACTCCCAGAAACAAACCTAGACATCTGCACAGAAACAATCGAAAACATCTTAAACCCACTCAGACACCGTTAAAACAAAGGAGGACGATCTTGTACTGGACGAACATCGTACAAGCATTTAAACTCTAAATTAAGAACATGAGCAAATGTGACAGACCCAATGTCATCTAGAAACTGTTAAAAAAAAAGGTTCAGAGTTTCTCACAAAGTATTGTTCATCGTCACGGCACCGTAAAGCTGGGAGAATGTGAGGGAGATGTTTTTCTTTCGACGCTGCTTTGCGAATAGAATGCTGGAAAAAAGCTCGCTTGCATTTGAAGCAAACGGAGTAACAACGAAGGCTACAAAAAATGGTGGGATGCCAGAGCTCGATGAAAATCCTCCAATTGAATCAACCAAGGGATCGGCAAACAAGGCAGCCAAAGCTGCTCCTCCCAAGAGGTACAAGCCTGCTGCTTTTTTTATTGTATTTGCTTCTGAGTTAGTGATTTCTTTCTCCTCGTCACTTTCATCACCAGCAGCCTCCTTCTCGAGAAGGTCTAGTACCTAGACGATGCAAAAAAACGTTCTAACTTAGATGGTTGACAAATGCTTGTCAGATCAGGAAAAACTTCTCATCATAGACGTAGTCATCACAATCCCGAGAGATTATGAGTGGAAACTATGTGCTAGAAATATGATCCTTGAAGCCTCTTTGAACTGTGCTATGACTTGGACATACTAATCTGTGCAGTTTTTACACTGTCCTAATAACCTGAAGACCATAGAACGAAGTCAGTTTTCGAAAAACGATAGAATTTGTACGAATAACAGGCTTACCTTTCTAGCCTCAGTTGACTGAGCAGCCCAAAAGTCCGGATTGTTTGCACCCAGAGCAGAGATCTCCATCTGTTGAGCCTTCCGCAACCAGTTTTCCTTGGAAATCCGTTTAGCCCACTTGGTGATCCCAGTCAGAAATTCGGGCTCTGAGAGCGTGCCATCCATATTGACGTCAAACTCTTCCATCCATAATTCTATCTGTCCTTTTGCTGGAACAAAGCTGCATAAGCATTTGTATTTGCCTTCAATACTGGCCATAATCAGATTATCTGACTCCAAAACAAGCTAAACTAATTATATTTTTCCAGGCAGTTAATATCTCTTTCATGACGAAAAGCTCATAGTGTAATCAGACCAAAAGTACGTTTGTGAAGCTGATTCTTTCTTACCAATTAGCTTCTAACTTCTTTCTTTTACTACCACAAAGCAATGGTACTAACCCTTCTTCCAGCTCTAAACCGATGAGGAGACCTTTCAGTTCTTCTTTTTGAATATGCCCATCTTGATTCGAATCAAACGAGGCAAAAAGTTGCTTCAAAAGCTCCTGCGATGGTCCAGGGTCCCTCTCCTTCAAGAACCCAAAAGAGTCTGTTGCTTATCAGCTTCGGGGTTGACAAATTAGCTCGAAACAGAATCACTAATTTATACTACATTAAAACTTTTTGCAAGCATTAGATCTTGGGTTCCAAATATTTACTGTCAACATGTACACTACGCTAAGACTTTCATGCCAAAATCACGCCTAGAACGCTTACTTGATTTCCACAGTTCAGATGATAACAATGTCAAGAGATCACATTCACCCAAAAAAAAGAGCTCAAAGTAACGTATTAGCTCACTCAGAAACTAACCTTCAGGAGATACGGAGTTTTAAGAGCCAATCTTTTGTTAAAGGAGGTAACTCCTTGTAAAGCACGGGATCTCATGTATTGCAAACGAGCCTCTTCTATGCGCTTTTGTTGAAGCCAGGGAAAGGAAACCTACAATTGTTCAATAAAAGAAAATCAGGTAGTAAGCATATATGCTCCCAACAATGAAGATTACAGTGATTATATCTTGTTATTTTCCAAACATGTACAAGTAAAGCGAGCCAGTCTTCATTCCATCCTCCTACCGAAAGCATGGTCGCAAGCTAACATGCTTTGCCATAACATGATAACCATTTTACAGATAAGCTGCTTTGAGTAAAAATTGTACAATATGACAAAGAGATGAGCTGCTGGACAAGCGAGAATAGTGAGACCAAGACGATTATGTTAACATAGATTTTAACAACTCTAACCTAAAGACTCAAATACAGTGACCAGAGGTTAAGTCTTACATACTTGGTAGGTGCAATAAGCAAGCACACCGACCACTGCGACAATGCAACCTACAAGGGCTGCTTCAGGACCTTCCGTGGGATGTCCGTCTAACAATGGCACTTGGACACATAAATATGGGATTGTCGACAGCATCATTATCCAGGCACCCACTCTGAGAAACCAGTTATGACATTCAGTTAAAATATAAACACTTGAAGAAGGTGATTTTGATGTGTTAACTTCAAGGTGAGTAAGATGAACATTAGTTTTTAATTGAGACGTTCCATGGATAACGACCAGCAACATTTCGACATTTTTTTGTTCCTTAACCTATCTAGTTCAGTTGGCATAGTAAATTTACCACACCTCGTCTGCTCATCAGTGGTCACTCCCGTTCCGGAGAAGTCCGAAGGTTTAGTGAGTGTCCGATCCTTGGCAGTACCTTCAGGTCCTGATAAGTCACATCGTCCAGCATAGAGGGACCCGGCCCAGCCAACCGTAAGTAACATGACGATGGATCCAGCTAGAACTCCAACTCCGACCATGACCTCCTCTTGGGCCTGTTCTTAACAAGAAATTCAGGAGTTATACTTCGGCATCATAAACCATGCCCAATCAACCGTACTCTTGTCAAACTCACGACAAAGTAATTCCTAAAATCATAATTACCTAACTCCCATCCTTCCATTTTGCGCATTTCTGCACAGATCAGGTTACATCATTTTCACACCTTTCTCTTCCTTCCAGCAGAGGTTCAAACTCACAGGTCTGAACAGAAGTCCTTTATAAAACTTCATAAAGAATGTATGACACTTATAAGAGATTCCCAGATATATCTAAACTTCTATGATTTTGCAGCTTTACAACTTCACAAAGATAGAGTACCTCTTCTAAGGTGCCTCCGGATCCAGAAGCAAATATCAGCAACGCATCGGGTAATGACCCTAGTATGGGAAGGAGAAGTCCGCCAATTAGACCAGGATTCATAACCTTTAAGAGAAGACACCACACACGTATAAAGTCGTTAGCATTTGACGGTGGGTTCATGGGGTACGGTTGATACATCTGATTGCAGCAAGTCAACATACTCTTTACTTGATGAATCTCATGATTGCCACAAACATGTGATCGTACTCTACAATTGGTCCTTAGGTCTCAAATTCCTCAGGACTACTTACTTCAATTCTTCTACAGACTGTTGAGATTTTCTTGACCGCAGGTGAAACAATACAGTTGCAGACTACGAACCACAGATAACTACCTGGAAGAACCCACAGAATTCAAAGAAAGGCTATCAGCAAGATCACTAATCTCTTCTTATCAAGAGAATCCTACTTCTATCCCGTCCTCTCCACATTCTTAGTCTCTTCATACTGGCACCGCTCAGCCTCGGGGTGTGTGGCAGGCACATACTAGTGAGTGCAGCTTGTTGAATGAATACTCTTTCAGATACATTTATAAGATTTTCTTTATAACCTGATAACAAGAATAAAAAACACCTCCAAGTAGGAGGATATTTTAATGTACAAAGGCTACAAGCGTTCATATGGGCTTAGTTACATAAATTATATCCATGGTACAACCCCTTGGTTGCTCCGCGTCCCAGCCCAAGGTCAAAGCAGAGCATACTAATTATTGATGGACTGACCGAAACCACGTTGGGAGTTGAAGCTTTATACCTCAAGAAGCAGCTCACTGCCCTTCGAAATCAGCTGGGCAGCAATAAGAAGTAAGTACCCATAGGCCACAATCAACGCCAAGTTGCCTCCAACACTGTCTGAGCACGGTAGAAAGCCATATGTTTCCTCGCAAACTTTTGAAGCTTCAGCAACCTGGAACATCTCCTTAGACTGGAACTTCAAGGGCCGATTTTCATCGATATGCAAACTAAATGTCTTCCCTGGGATATCTTCTACTTGTGACAGCCACCCGGATGCAGCCCTGGTATCACCCATATAGTGATTGTGGAGAGAACTTCCAACTTTATTTGATTCGTATGGTTGTGAAATTGCGCTCGCTTGTAATTCGCCAACCCATTCTTCGCTTACTATTGCAGATGCTGATTCCATCCAGGGATTTGCCAAACTCAATGAGAAGAGAAGGAAAACATGAAACAGTTGAGGCAAACGCTCCTTTTGCTGCAATTCACTCCAGTATCCACGTCCATCGAAAACTCCACCCAATCTTCCCCGGAATTCTTCCAAAATTCTTCTTGTAAAACTAGGTACCAGAGACTTAATCTGGTGGCTTGATAAAAATTGAGGATGGTTGGATTCTTCGAGTGAGGCATTGGAGGAACAATTGTCCTCCTCATTATTTTCATCACTCATGTTGTTAGATGCGGTGACACTTCTGAATTGTGCCGTTTGGAATCCAAAACGAAGGAAAGTTTTCTGCACAGAATTCAGAACGAGCGCCTTCAAAGTGCAGGACAAGTCACTTGAGATTATCCATCATAACCGAACGTCAACATATACTATAACTTGGAAAGGCAACGCGAATATAATTGATTCTACCCGGAGTGTGTGATATCAAGGACTTTGACGATGCTCGTCTCTTTATCAAGGCTGTTCAAGATATCCTCCGAGTTTGCCCCCACCCCAACCCCCACAACTAAAGAGGTAGAGATAACTGAATGATTCTCTTCAAAATTTGCAGCATTCTTTCCAATCCTAAAATACATTCTGGCTGGGAAGAGGAAAGCCGATGGTTCACCTCCTTTGGTTGAAAATCATTCCGAACACCATTTCTTCGCAGATGAACATCCTGTTCTCTGCGCCAAGCCCAAAAGTTCCATCGGCTTCAAAATTTCATCATCATCAAAAAAAATTTCGTTCGATGATGATTAAAATAATATTAGAGTGTACGTTCGTGGATGACTAGCGCTTTATACTGACAGCATCATGTACAAAACTGTAAAACGAGAAACCCACCGATTCTGGAACGAGCTTGACAGGTGGCCACCTAGGAATGTGCAGCATTTTCTACCAGCCCGATTCCCGCCCCACTCACTTCTCGTTGAGAAATGAGTGACATTGGGCACTTTGACAGTGGACGCGTGCACCACTACACCTGATTGCCTCATCGTCACCCTCAGCAATTCGCTGGGCAGGGCGTCAGGCCAATTGCCAACTTCAACTCGATCCCACGATCGATGGGGTCTGGCTTTACAGCCAAAAGAATACTGCTCTCACTCCCCTTCGACTACGCTCCGGTTTTCCATGACAAACTTAAGCTCGCGAATGCAACAATTTCAGTGCCATGGGGTGATGTTTCTTCCAGTCCACCAGAATTCCGTGCTCCAATTCATGCCCGAACTCAGACCGACGCAGAGACCCCGGCCGAGAACTGAAGTTTTCAAAAGCGTCGGATATCATATCCGATAAGGTACAATTACAATATTCTATTTGAGATCCTGTCCAGTTTGTCGTTCTCTGCGCAGAAGCAGGACGGTGTCCAGAAAGTCCAGAAAAATTGCATACCATACATGGCGACAGTAGTTCACTAGATACCGTGAAGAGGTTGCAGCCCAAATCCCGAGCTTCGTGTGGTTCTCCGCTCTCGTCTCGACTTCTCAGAACCTCGGGAGTTTGTTTGTAAGCTAACACCCCAACAAGCATTCCAGCATTCAGCGGTTCTGCCTCGATCAAAGCACCAAAATTGAGCAGTTTGGGCAGAGGGATATTCGAGAGAAAAACGAAACTCTTTTCTAAATCAAGTTTTAATTGATCAGATGGCATCAGAAGACAAGAATCATCTGCCCCTGTTACCATCGTAGGCACAACAGCGATGTCGAATTTGGATATTCGATCTGTCATGTTTGTATGATTGACGATTTGGTCTGTGTCAAAGAGAGCAGAAGTTGTTCGAGAGAGCGTCTCCATGTTTATTTCCACAAATTGAGTCCGTGTGCGGGGTGTTTAATGGAAAGCCCTGTCAGTGTTATGGGTTCTCATTTCCATGAGAAATGTATGTCAGGACGTGAAGGTACAAATGGCAACAAGTATGCATAACGATACCCAGATTAAAATCAAAATACCAAAAAATTTATTACACAACCAGGTCTCAAATAGCCTAGCTCTAATAAATTAAGCTTATTCAGAAGTCTCCTTGCCAGAGAATGGTCGGAGACTCAAATAGACGTGCCTAGACGGGTCCATTTGAGTCTAATGTCCTATTTCCCGCACCAGACAAACTGAGTTATCCAGCAAAAAGGATGGGAGGACCCCATCTAATCGCTGCGGGATGAAACCAAAAGGGATGATGGGACTAGAGCCATATCAATCTGAAATATGTGAAATATAACTAATATATTCAAACTATATACATTGAGCTTGAGTTCTCATTTAATCAAGACATAATTCAATTCTTGTCATGTGGATTCCATCCGCAGGTGTTGGATGTGTAATAAAGAATACATGCTACATAACATAGTAACAAAATTTTATGAACAAATACAACGCACTATTATGATTATATGATCATAATATTATCTCAATTTTTTGAGAAATAAAGAATTGATAGCAATGCTACATTTAGACCTAGAGAATTTGGCTGGTACAGCTCCATCTGCAGTTTTTTTGCGTATCCATTATGGACAGGCTTATAAACTTCAAACTTGTGCTCCTTATATGATCCATAACCAGAATTTCATCAACAATAACCTAGCCAAATATAGCTCTATATTAACTATGAGTGATTATAGGGCATCCCAATAATCCTTCCATGTGAAATATCCAGCCACCACCTCCTCTTCAGCCATAGTAAAAATTACATACTACTATCATCGTGAGTAGCCATCCTAATGGATAAATAGTGAAATGGACTTTTGAAGCATCAAAGCTAGAATTGCACTTACATCTCAAACACGAATCTCAAACAGAGATGAGTCAAGCAAGCTAACTCAATATATCATTGTTAGAAAAAAATGTAGCTGGTGCAAGTCCAGATTTCTTGATGCATTGTCAAAACAAAGTTTACACTTATAATTATTATCAATAAGAAGTACGAGTGATCATATATATCTTAAACAACAAAATATCTTTCATTTGAGATAGCATCGTATGTAAGAAATATAACCTGCTTGCACTTCACACACGCTTGCCATACTTAAGCCTTAACCTCATGGTGTGTGAATGGCCGAAGCCAATTCCCCTCCTTGTCAAGGGGGTTGCTAACCTTCTCTCGGCTCAACGAACACATGTCAAATTATTGTAAGAAATGCACTAGCATCCAAAAACAACACAATTGCTATATATACCATCAATAATAAAATCTATTTCTTCATAACAAATAACAAAAAAGTGATTTTAGATGCCACATCTCTATCATCCTTTGAAAACTCTTGTTCCAATTATGTCAAAACGGTTTATCTTCATAAAACCTACAAATCATGAGATTTTAGCAAATAATATATTTTTGTATATTCTACTTTGATATCTTCAATCTAAAGCTTGAACATTAAGTTTTAAAAGCCATATCAAATCCTTTCTACAAGATTCTAAAATCAATCGTCCCCTAATGAAATACATGATGATTATGGCCAAAAACATAGTAATTTAATAATAAGCCTAAGAATAGAGTCACATAAATATACTTTCAGAAAATGTTTTTTTCAAATATCAGAGAAGTGACTCAAGTAAAGAATTTCTTTGTAAGAATATTTTTAATTTGATTAGAAACGTGTATAAATATAAATAAATAAATATAAAATATAATTTCAAAAAATATTTTCTGAATAATTTGAAAAATTAAAATTATGAATTTTTCTAGATAAAAATTGTACCTTATTTTAAACCTTAAAATAGAAATTTAGCTTATTTCAAGTTGAAATGAACAAACTGGCATATATGGCACATATTTTGAATTTTAAAAAAATGAAATTATAAATAACTTTTAAATATTATCTTTACCTGATAGTGATTGACGTATGATTGATATTCAAAGATCGATTTTTTTTAATAAATTAATATTTAGAAAATCAGTATTTCATACATTTAACCACTGATTTTCTTGAACAATATATGGCTTCAAAAATATTAAGGAAGATCATTCTATCATTCATTCATTGAATCATTTGATGACTAAAGTTTGAAATTTTGCAAATACATTGAAAAACATGATGATCAATCAAATACGATTATTTTTTGAACATGTATTATAAGATTTTGCACAAATTTTTTCCAATATGGATTATTAATTGAGATGTATAAATAAAATTGCTTTATGTGAAATCATTAGACCTAAATTGATGTTTGTATGTGAACAGCTATATCAATATTATATGTATATAAAATAAAATAATTTGAAGATGAATTTAGTTCAATATTGATATGTTTTGATGTTGATGTTAACCTATGATAATTTAAACTTTCTATGTAAATCTTGAACCATTGTGATCAAATGCAACATGAATAAATGACATTTCTTTAGAACAATAAATAGTTTCATCATTTGAGGATTTTGATTGACGTAGAATTGTACTTGAAATAATTTAAAGTTAAAAAAACATACAAAAACACTTCATTAATATAGATAATTTTAATTTAATTTGTGATATGAAATTATCAATTTGTTTTTGTTGAATAAAATTTACTTTGATATTGAATGGTATTTTAGAATATATTTAACAAAATTGCATTTAGTATAGATGTAATACTTTATTATTTTTTAACCCTTTAATAATGATAATTACAATTTTAAAATTTTATATATTATCAATTCAAAATAATTTAATCTGTGTCTCCGCATTTGAGTTAGCTTGGTGGAAGATTCTTCTAGAATGTTTCATTCTACGCTGATCTATCCATGTATACATGGTCTGAAAGTTGTGAAGACATGGATTGTAAATTCTCTGTTGTGAGACGATGTTAGTATCTCGGCAAGGCAAACGTTAACTGTATTTTTTAGAATGATACACATGTATGTCTCTTGTTGTTTGCACTTAGTTTACGGTGTTCATCCAGTTGGTTCATTTAGGGTTAAATGCATCAATGCACTCAACATGTAACTCACAAGAACTACTTAACATTTTTTTTTTCAGTAAAGTATTCAATTTGTATCTTACAACATGGTATCACGATCTTTTTTTGACCCTTTAGTGGTTGATGATTTGTGTTAGTAATCACAAATTTTCTTGTTACTGGACGAGTATTTCCTTTCATGGCGGCTAGAAGGGACTCACTATTTACTTAAATACTCGAGAGGAACTGCTTCTGGGTATTTCAGTAGCCAGTGAGTACTTTCCAGCTACCATGAAAAAACCTCAATATATTTTTGATTTCACGTTACGCTCCGAGGAGGAGGAGCTCACCGGATGATTCAACTACATGAATTGGTCCATACGTTTGAAGAGGATGTTGAGGAACAAAGGAGTATATGAAGGCATTATTCTTGATCGGGCTTGCCTTGGCAGTGCTGATGATGATGCTCTTTGCCATCGAGAATCAAGGCCATTGCAATGATCCAAGCTAGAGTATCACTTGATACTCTCTCTTCTATTGCTGAACATGAGGAGAACATCTTTGAATTGTGAACTTAGCTGCTCACTCTCTATTAGTCTAATAATACCTAGCGATGTCTTATGCTAACCAAGAAATTAAGTTCTTTCAAGCTTTGTGCTCCTGTCACAATTGATGTCTATTTTTAGACCATCCTGGCGCTCAAAACGCAGCTCGTCGCTGTTGTACGTTGCCCCACTGATAGTGATCTTATTCACTTTACATTTAAGTATCTACCCTTATCTTGAGCTCCATTCGTCTTGAATTTCAACATAGATCTTTCTTGCGATCCGCCATCAAGTTTTACCAACCTCGTGTAGCATTTGTAGGTTGACATTACTTGGATTGACAATCATCACAAGGAAGACTCTACCGATGCAATCACTTGGTTCTTCCGCAAGCCGCAGTTCTTTAGGCCGTTTTTTCAACAAATTATCACACAATATTTTTGAACTAGAGGGCTTGATTCTAAATGTTCAATTTTATCAAATAATTGATGTAACTATTGTGGCAGACTTAATCACTGGTAACAAGATTGCAATCTCAAGAAGTTGGAATAGTAGATTTTGTAACTCAATAACTACAACATGTGGCGAGTTAAGATGCAAGCTAACGCTATTCAAGAACATAACAATAGTGAAGATGACTTGGTTGACTGTGAATAGATAGACCTAAAAACGCATATGACAATTAGAAAATTGCGAGATTAACTCTTAGATTCAATAGTTTCTCACCAATCATGTGATTGATGAACCATCATCAATTCATTTCAACCTATAGTTTCTCATTCTGGAGTTTCCACTGCCAAAGGAGCTTGTGTAGTTGTTGTTGGCAAAAATACATTGCGTGTTGAAGCAAATAAAGAGATAAAGCCTATCCTTTAAGTGCATATTTTTACCAAAAACTTGTTATCCGGATGTAAATTTGTGGTAACCCACTTTTTGTTTTTCGCCGAAACTAAAACATTTTTGATTAGTAAGTACCGTGGTAGCAGCTGTAAATAGTAATCGGTACGCAAAGCCAGAGTAAAAAGAGGATCGAGGACAGTCAAGGGGTTTTGGGCTTAGGCCACAGTGGAACGCTTGGAATGGAACGGGCGGTTCACGCTGCAAGACTCGCTTCGAGCACCTTCGGCGGTAGATCACTCATAACTTCCTCAATTCTTAACGCCTTGGGTTACTTAGAGTCTTGTTGGAAAGAACTTGACGCTCTGGTTCTAACGAGCCCAAGAACGCCTGGAACGGATGAGTACTCAGGGAGTTGTGACTGTCGGAAGATGCGAAGGAGAACGCCTACCGATAAGCGGAAGGAGTTCGTCGGCGGCAGAATATCCGCCTTCG